TATATAAATTACACCTTGCTTCTTTGAAATAACCAGAATTTGAGAGTATTATACCTAGGTATTTATACGTTTTTACACATTCTATATTAATACCATTAATTGAAAATGTTTCTTTTAATAAATGCCCACTTCTGTTGAAAATAATTACTTTTGTTTTGTTAACATTGATTTCCAAACACCATTCTTTACAATATTTGTATAACATATCAAGTTTTTGTTTCAGGGCTAGCTGGTTGTCAGATAATAATACTAAATCGTCTGCATATAATAAAGCTCCTATTTGCTTTTTGAAAAGTGAGACTGAGTTAACAACATCTTCATTTAGTAAATTTGCGAGATCATTCAAGAATATTTTGAATATATTCGGGCTTAAGACATCACCTTGTCTTACTCCTAGTTCAGGTGAGAAAGGTTGGGTTAATTTATTATCAATTTTAATCGAGATATAACTGTATTTGTACATACTGCATATTATTTTGTAGAATAGTCCATTTATATTCAATTGAAGAAGTTTAAGTTTTATGCCTTCGTGTATTATTGTATCAAATGCTTTATGGAAGTCAACGAAGCAAGCATACAAACGTTTATTACCTTTGTTGGTGTATTTGTCGATCAGACATTTCATTACAAATAAATGATCCGAAGTTCTAGCTTTTCTTGAAAATCCTATTTGGCTTTCGTGAATGATGTTATTTTCCGATAAAAAATTATCTAATCTATTGTTAAGTATTATATTGAAAAGTTTGCCAATACTGTTGGTAATGGTTATGCCTCTATAATTTTGGGGTAATCGGGGATTTTCTGATTTAAAAATAGGTGTTATATAACCTTCTACCCATTTTCTGGGATAAATTCCGGAAGTGAAGACATTGTTAAACAATTTTAGAATACAAGGATTCATGTAAATTTGTGCTACTCTCAACATTTCGTTGGTAATATTATCCAGGCCAGGGCTTTTATCAGATTTTATACTAGACAAAGATTTTTGTAATTCCTTTAAAGAGATTTTAAAGTCTAGTTTACTAAACGATATAAAGTTTGGTCCATTTTCGAGTTCCTTAATTTTATTTTGAATAATTTGTAGTCTCTCTGAATGCTTATTAGGCAGTTTAAACAGGGTACTAAAGTAGTTATGCCACATATCTGGTTCAATACATTTCTCAGTTTTTTCCTTATTCCCCTCTTTGGCTTCTCTGATTGATGCGACTAAATTCCAGTATTCTTTAGGATTATTTTCCTTAAGTTGATCTAACTTGTCGAAAATATTTTGAACAAACTGTCGTTTTTTGTATTTATTTAATTTAGCATACACTTTTTTAGCTTTGAAATAAGACCCTCGTATGAAAGGGTTGTTAGGAAATTTAGATATTAAGATAGCCTTTTCACTAAGTTGTTTCTTCATTTTCCAAAGATCTGAATCAAACCATTTTTTGTTAACTTGTTTATTTTTATGAACCTTCTTATTTAGTGATAATTTTGCTACTTTTTCAAAAATGTTATGGATATCATTTGTAGCTTCATTAATTTCCTTTTCATTCATTTGTATATCTTTATTTAAAAAGGTTTGTATGTCTTGTTGGATAATAGGGTGTGTAAAAAAGTTCTGGTAGTGGCTTATTAGTGAACTGTTCCATTTGTAACGAATAGGCATTTCTTGAAGATTATTGTTATTTATTATTTAGATGATAGTATTTTTAGTGAAATTTTACAATGACAATCAGAGAATGGTAAAAAATCATATACATGAAAGTACATAATATCGTCAAGTAATTTCTCTGTTACAATAAAGTAATCGACAACACTTGAACCTGCATAGTTATGGCAAGTAAATTTTCCATATGAATCACCAAAAATTCTACCGTTAACTATTCTCATCTTATTTGCTATACACATTTCTAACAAGTCTTTACCACTATTATCTAATGTGATATCTCTATTTTTCCTATCCCCAACTGCTATATCTACATTATAAAAGTCTTCTTTAATTGGAATGTGTGAGGTATTATCTCCTTTTATGTAATCAGGTTCATTACCAGTTCTGGCATTAAAATCTCCAGTAAGTATAATATCACCCATATCTCTATACTTAATAATATCTCTCTCCAGTATTTCTAGTATATCATTATTATTTCTTAAATAACCTGATGTGTAGGGAGGAATGTAGATCAAACATAAGTATATGTCTGATTTAAAATTGAAGAATTCTTTTTTAAGCTTTAACCATTGAAACTCTGTGTTTGTATTTTGAAGTACTAAAATGCCCTTTCTTATGTTTTTCTTTATTAAAATTCCTAAACCTCCAAAGTATCTGTTATTCTTTGACTTATCTCTACAAACTGGGTAGTAAGAAAAGTTATCCACTTCAAGGGTAGTATTATAGCCTATGTGTGTTTCAGTGAGTAATACAATATCAAAATTTTTTATCTGATCTATAAATTTGTTATCTGTACATTTATTTATGCCGTCAGTGATCATACCTCCCACATTCCATGTACATATGTTTAAATAGGTTTCAGCTCTACTCATTGTATTTATAACAATTAATATAATGAGCTATCTTGAATAATTATATGGACAGTTTTGTTTTTCTTTTTTAACAAAAACAAAAACAAACAAACAGAATCTATCAATAAAGATTTGTTCTGATTATAAATTCACAATCTCTTTTAATAAAGATTTGTGTACTGACTAAAAATCCACAAAAGCTATGTGTTATGATATAGCTAAAAGAAAACTTAGTGCCAGGGTCTGCCTCGGTAAGCATGGTAAGGCCGGAAGTCTTTCCAGTCATTATTTTGATATGGGTTCATGTGCTGGTTTGTTTTCCAGGACGGACGATATGGGTTTGCTCCTTTGTATGGAGCATTCTTGCTCTTATATAACGGTTGTCTCTTGTAGCTGCATGCCTTGTCGATCGCTTTTTTTAAATTGCACCCTAACACTGCCGCTCCCTCCTTCGTTAAATGCACTCCATCTGTCTCTGTGAACTTGGATATTGGTTTCCCATCTAGTATGAAGTTGTTATTTTCACAAAGAATTATTTTTTCATTGTCTCTAAACTTTTGTTTGAGAATAACATTGACTAATTCCACCTTGTTGTTTCTTTCTACACTGTCCTTCCTTGGTGTTTCAAGCGATATGATGAGAGTTGATTGTGGAAATTTCTTAGTTGTTATTTCTGTTAGAGCTAACATTTTCTGTGCACATCCCTCAGCATTCGTCTGGGACTTAATCTCGTTTGTCAAAGTATGTAGTACTATGGCGTTAGGCTGTTGATTTGAGTCATACTTTGTGACGGTTTCGATAGCGCTCTCTACAGTGTAGGCGGTCTCTTTATCTGTTGTATATTGGGTCCATCTCTGGGGGTTGATATATTTTAAGTTTGATGTTCCAATCAAAAGGATCGATGGCTTTTTTTCCTTTGCATCACTTGTATCTTTGGTCTCTCTATCCGTATCGGTCGCTCTATCGCTTTTATCTAGCCTTGTTAGGTGACTGTGTAGTTTTGTCAACCATCATAAACTGTCCTGCTTTGTTATCTTGCATGCTCCCAACATGGAGCTTCATGCTATACAATTCTTCTTTGCTGTTAATTATCTTTTTATAAGCTTGGACTGCACGTTCTAACTCGTAAATTTCCTGAGTTTTTGTGTCCATTCGTGCTATTAAATACTCCTCTTCTTTTTTAGCCTCTTCTATGTAACGATTCATTGTATTCTTCGTAGCCTCATGAGATTGCTTTTCGTCTTTGTATTTGTCTTCAAACTGTTTGACTTTATGCTCTAGCATCTTACTTTTTTCACCCAGTCCTCTATTCTCACGTTCTAGTTTCTCATATTTTACATCTGTTGACTCGTTTTTCTTATCTCCATTCTGATTCTGAAATTTTGTCTTTAGAGACATCACATCTTCTTTTATTTCGCTCATTTCTTTCTTTAATCTGGTTTCGTAAACATGTTGGGCATTGCACATTTCACTGAACTTGTTGGATATCAAGTTGGTGACTTGAGTGTATATTTTATCTGTAACACTTAACAAGTTTTCTTCTAGGGAGTCTGCTTTCTTCACATCTTGACAAATTGTCTGACTCTGGGTATCTTGTGTTTCTATCTGATTGACTGATACGTTTGTATCTTTTTCTACTGTCATTTGACTTGTCTTTAATGGCACCTCAGATTGAGTTGTTGTAGATTCCTTTGTGTAGGTTGTTTCGGATGTAACAACTTCTTTCACGTTGGTGGAGTCTGATGGAATGCTGTTTGCCACATTTTTTAACACTGAAAAAATTTGGTTAACAAATATGTCCTTGCTATTCCCCTGGACTTGCACTGTGCCAGTTGTAATAAAGAAGGTAGTTCGAAATAATTTTTCTTCTGAATCCTTGTACTGAACATCAATACAAATAGCGTTACCTGTGCTCTCTTTTTCCCAGTGGCTTGGTGTTTCATTCCAAGTAACTTTATACTGTGGTTCTTTGCCAATACTATCGAAGAATACGTAATGCAGGGCCTGGATATATGGTACAGTCTTTTCTCTTGGGACGCGGAAGGCCGCCATCCTGGCGTCACTTTCGTACAAGTGAGGATTTATTTCCTCGAATGATGCCTTCTTGATTTTATTTCCCGTTGGATTCCGAAGACGGTCTGGAATAAAAGCTTCATAGTCTTTGATATCTATGTTTGAAGTTTCAAGTCTGTTAATATTTTTCAAGGATTCAAACATTTTGTTTGACTCTATTTTGAGCAGAGGCAATTCGAAATAGCACGTGGCTGGTTATCACATTTACCGGGATTGTAGGCGCTAAGTTTTGTTAACACATTCTTTTAAATAACGTAAACTTACTTTTATGGAGATCACAAGATAAATGTCAATGAAAATAATGGCGTAATTACCATTAAACGATTAATTATTATCTCCTTGTTTTTTAAGTACGACTTTCCTGTATCTCGATCCTGAATAAGTTTATATTTTACATTGTGACACGCGAATCAAGCGTCTTACCTAAAAATAGGAATTTTTAATGGCACACTGTCAAAAAGATTCTGTGAAAGTATCATTTTATTTATACAGAGGTATAGATGGAGATTTGGATAAGGGAAGGGTATCATTTAATATATTTTAAAGAATGATAATGTAAGCATTTTAATTATGAAAACTCGAAATATGTGCCTGATTAAACAAAAATTAAATGTGAAATAGGAGGCTTAATTTTTTTAATAAAATTTATTCACGAACGAGAAGAAATACACAACAGTTGAAGTTTTGCCAAATGTTGTGAACACTTGTTGTATGGTTAAGCCAATGGATGAGATGACCTCAGAACAAAAAATAAAACTGACTGAGAGGCAGAAGAAATGGTCAACATTGGGCTTCTTGTAAAGAAAACATTCTTAACTGTACTACGAGTTGCGAAAATTTTTTTAGCAGTTTTCTACAATAATTGTCTTTTTGGAAATAACAATACATCTTGTCTTTAAGGTTATTTTTACGAACTAATGAGTATGAAAATACCAGTAAATGAGCAAATGTACGGAATGAATAAACAGAAAAAATCAGTTTTAAAATATATATTTATTCATATTACGAGAATTCATAATCTGATAATCTGTGAATGGTTACTGGACAAATGCAGTTGGTTATTGTGATGCATAAAAAGAAATAAATAATCGGTTTACTCGTTTTGGGGAAACTCAGCAATGTAAAAACTAGGTCATTAGTTGCAATTATTTTAAAGTTTGCTATTTTTGATTTTGGATCATAATTTCTGTTTCCTTTCAAGGTTCCTTTTAGTATCCTTTTCACCGGTCTGCGTGACTATTTGCTAAATAAATTCAATTATAGGGCTTATTTTTTTCGAGACAAACATTGTTCGGTGATTAAACAATGAATATCGTATCTATACACTCTTTTGAGATTTTAATTCTTCATTTATTGTGTAGCAATGCATGTCAAAAGTAAGTATTCAAACAGAATTTAATATGTTCTGCATTAAAAAAAGACTAATTTCATTTTTTGGCTTCTATCGAATATATTCGCTTATTAATTTTATTTATTCTTATTTCAATAGTGTCAATGAAGAAGGAACTTGTAATGTTCCGGTTATTTTTACAATGAGGATTCGAAGGAATGTAAAGGTATTTAATGAAGCAGTTAGTTATTTACAATAAAAACACTAAAAAAATGTTAATTGAGGAAATATTGTTGCATAAGTGTTAATTATTTAATTGTTTCTATAAGTTGTCATTTTCTCACACCTTTTAGAGTGTTCCCCTGGATATATGGGTCCAAATTGTTCAAGAACGTGTCGTTACCCCGGGTTTGGGAAACAGTGTCAGCAAGGATGCAATTGCACAGCAGAATATTGCGACTTTCGGAGTGGCTGTTTAAATATGTCTATTGGTAAATTTAACAGATGATCATAACTCGATTTAATTTGATTTATGGTTCATAAACCCTCTGCTCACTCTTATGACATTTTTCCTTAACTTTTATGCTTTTCCAAAGGAAATGTATATGCTGAATAAAATACAATTATAGCATGGCTTGCGGGGCAAAATTCGACAGAAAAGGCACTTAAACTAGGCAAATTTATTCATGTATTTATATCATTTTTTGCCATATTTTACCTTACTATATCATGAAATACAATCTTTTTTATTATTGATTATCCGATTTTTTTTAATTCCGTGCATTTTCATTTTTGATTAAAGACATTAAAATGATATATTTATTCGATTATTCACTTATATATGCCATGTAAACAAAACATTTCGATTATTTAATTTAAATTATCGTTGCAGAAAATGCAACCAATGTGAAGGAGAAGTATTTGTCAACTTACTCTGGAATAAGTGTCATTGGATCAATATCCATAATAACGATAATATCAATTGCGACAGCATTTCTGTTCTTTTTATTTTTGATTTTAACAAGAATTCTGATACTCCATCTAAAGAACAAAAACACTCTTGCTCAAACAAATGCTGCAGCTGCTGTCCTTGTGGAAAATGTGGACGTCGAAATCCCTCCAGGTTTACCAGCACAGACTCAAACATGGGCAGATGTACAACCTTTCACTATAGACTTGCATACAACTGACAATAAAATTGGAAATTGCGGAGGGAGAAATTCGGAGGAAAATACGACCGAAGTTCTTGGAAAAGATTTCGAAGAAGCAATCACAAGGAATGGAGATAATGTGTATATGTTTACATTTGCATCTTTTGGAAGTGAGATGATGGGAAATTCTGTTCATGGATATTCTACACTTCAGAACAGCTAGTTTTGCCCTTTTATTTCTTTAACGACTTTCTTGTCTACATGCAGCTTATTATTTGTCCAAAAGAAAAATAATTGTATGTTCAAAACATTCACTGCATGAAAAGTCGCGTTTAATATAATTTAATAAAATTGTATTGAATTTAATTTATGTATAACGGTACATTTTATATGAGATATATTGTGATATAATTAAGTACAGTTTTCAAATAAGTATAATCACATTTAATGCAAAATACGTCGAGAATAATATAGTTTAATAGCACAAGTTCAGAATCCCTGCTGTATCTATTTTTAGAATTCCTTATCAGTAGAGTTTGCATACTATTTAGATGCGGACAAACTGCCCCACATGTTTCTTTGTTTACAAGAGCAAAACAGCGGCTTGAATCTTACTTTGTGATGTAAATTTAGTAATAGTATGGCTAACCTGTGTAAAAAGGGTGCAACAAAACACTGTTGTCATGGAATCTGCAATAGTGACTCAAGGTATGCCCACAAAGAATATATGCAAGGAGTGGAATTTATTAGATTTCCTAAACCCTGGAGAGATATTGAAAAGTGTAAACGATGGGTGAATGCATGTAAACGGGAAGGATTTTCAACTGCAAAGGTCACTAAGGATACATATATATGCAGCAAGCACTTTGTTGGAGGAAAAGGGCCAACAATTGAGCATCCAGACCCTCTTCCTGCAACTGCAACCGAATCTGAAGTAAGTAATTAAGTACAGCATATTAATATATGTGTTGAAATTTTGTCTTAACGTACACTAGTATATGTAGAAAAATGCATTGCTCATGTGTTCATCTGTTTTATTTTATATCTATTAACAGATCAAAAAATGCACAACAAAGCGCAAATGTCCCACTCCCAGACAAGAAATCTCACATCCAAGGAATATGGCAAGAAAATCTCTTTATCAAGAATTAGAGGTGAATACAAGTACAACTGAGTCCATACCTCAATGTACAAGCATCTGTCAAACTTCAGATAAAATGACAGATAAATGCCTTCAAGTCAAACCTCAGGAAGCATCAATGAGTACCCAAACTGAGAGGAACATAAACATTGAATTAGAGGTTCGAATTGAAAATTCCATGCTAAAAAACAAAGTAAAATTGCTCCAAAATGAAGTTGATCATCTGCAAACATCTAGTAGTCTAAAATTACCAAACAAACAAAAATCCTCTGTAGAGACTTCCAGTGAGTTTACCTTTGATGTCATAATGAAGGATAAAGAGAAGTTCAAGTACTATACAGGACTAACCATTTCACAGTTCATGTGTTTGTGGGAGTATCTAGGACCTTCCAAAAATAAGCTAGTTTATTGGAACAGTGACTGTGAATATCCAGATAGATCGCCAACCAAGAGACCTGGACCAAAGCGCAAACTTGAACCAAAAAATGAACTGTTCATGACACTCATGCGGCTAAGACATGGATTTCTTGTTGAAGATCTATCATACAGATTTAATGTTAGCACCTCTATGGTCTCTAGAATAATTCTCACATGGGTTCAGTTTCTGTATAAAAGATTTCTTCCCCTCAGATCAAAAATGTTCCCAAGTAGGTCTCACTTGCGCAAGTTTGCACCTAAGTCTTTCAAGAAGTACAAAAATATAAGATGTATTATAGATTGTACAGAGGTATTTGTTCAACAACCTAGAGACTTTGGTAAACAAGGAAATTGTTACTCTTCATATAAGGGTCACACTACATATAAATTTCTAGTTGCAATTGCACCAAATGGAGCAATTGTTTTTGTTTCCGACGCATTCGAAGGATCAATTTCTGACAAAGACATTGTCATCAAGTCTGGTTTTTTAGACCATTTAGAGAATGGTGATGTAATAATGGCAGATCGTGGTTTTGTAATTGATGACTTACTAATGACACGGGGTGCAAAACTTGTTTTGCCTCCATTTTTAGGAGGAAGAACAAAACTTAGTGCTCAGGAGGAGGCAAGCACGAAAGACATAGCAAAACATCGCATCCATGTAGAACGCACCATAGAGAGAATGAAAAAATTTAGAATTTTACAGAAAACAATACCGTTGTCATTAGAGCCAGTATTTTCTCAATTAATATTTGTTGTGGGTTGTTTAGTTAATTTTCAAGATCCAATAGTTAAATAAATGTATCTGAATTTAATGAGACTTGTTTTATTTACTCAGGTTTTATATTCAAATACTAGTTAAATCATGTAAAATAAAATGATTGATCAAAAGTTTTGTACATTTTATATGTTCTAATAAGAAAGAAAAACACATAAACCTTTATTCTTAAATCACAATTATATCATTTTACTCTGACAAATCAACTGGTTCTAGTCTCCTTGGAATTCTTACCTCAAAATACTCAGGACAGAGTCTAGTGTGATGAAATTTAACAAGTTTTTGAGATAAACTTTCCCAAAATGTTTTGTCAAATGTGATTCTTTCACAGAAAGAGCTTTTCGAAGACCAAACATAAAAATCACACCAATTACGACCCATTACTCCTAACTGCATTTGAACTTGAAAATAATACTCATGGTTTCGCTTTAGAGCAATGGTTCCACTTTTCTTTTTCACGAGAAAAAAATTTGATTTCTGTGAACCTGACAAAACTGAATCAAAATTTACAATGTCTGCATCTTTAAGCACATATGGACATTTCATTTCCAGTAGACCGTGTATGTCTCCATTCTGCTCACTAGGATCGGTTACCAATCCATCTGGACTACATCCTAGCTCTGGATTCTTTGGAGATACCCAGAATCCCGTCGTACAAGCTTCAAATGAAGGACAAGCATCTTTCTTTGAACTAGTATAATGTGAAAAAGCAAGTGATTCTTTTTCAATCCCGTAAAGCATTGCTCTTGTTTGATATGATGTAGATGGATACATAATGTTTGACAAAGTGTTTCTGATGGCTGAGTTGGATTTAAGTGTAGCCACTGTCTTTGCTTTTGAAGCTGTTATTCGTACACGTCGGTGACAATTCCACTCATCACACCGCTGGGAAGATGTAATTTCAGTAGGATCTGTGTTTAAGGACAGCGAAAGGTTTTCCAAAAATACTGTACGTTTAATCTTCAGCTCTTCTGCATGCAGGTCATCTATGTCATAATCTGCATAATTATATTTCAGAAGTGTAGCCCACATACTACTGGAACAGTTTTTATACTGTAGTTCCTGCCAGAATGTATTTTCTTCAATATCAGGATTGTCATCAGTCTGATATGTTGGTGGACGGGGGTCATATGAGATCAGTTCGTCAATCTTCTTCTGTTTGATTCCGGAATACTTAGATTCTGTAATTTTTTGTGGATTCTTTCTTTTCTTCCTTCCAATATTCCACTCGCACTTTTTTGAAGTACAAGCAGCTGGTTCATGGCCATATTGTTGACAATAGTCCAGAAGGGCAAATAGCACAGCTGCAACATGGCTACATCTTCCCATGGATGAAGCAATGCAAGTGCATGAAGCATCCTGCACAAAACCAGTTTCTGTAGACATGGTTACGGTGACATTGTACGATGTGTTGATTCTGTAGGATGCCATTACAGAGGCCTTCAAAAAATAAATATTTCCTGACTTAAAGTCCTTTAAGTTGCAAACATGCCCACTCTTGAAATATTGTTTCCCTTTTTTTAATGGTTTTGATGTGTGTAGGTCATCAATATCCTCTTCTCCCGAATCATTTCCAGGCTTGTCTACTAACTGCACACTTTCAATTATATAATGATGAATATGACCTTCATTGAAATATTGTGGCAAGTTTGTAGATGGGAAAACTTTCCAACCAACAACAGGGGGAATTTTTGGGTTGCTTGATGCATCATCTGAAGTTGATGCTTTAAGATCTGATGCCTTCAAATCCATCCATTTCCCAGCATCAACACTTACACTTATGTCTGTGTTTCCAGATGAAATGCAGTCTTTTACTCTACAAAGTAATGAAACTCTGATTTAAAATTCAGTTACTGAGTTATTCATATGTATTAATCATTTACTTAAGGCTAGTTTGTTTATTTTTAAGATATGAAATGGAATAAATTCAAATTCATTGATTTAAAAAAAAAGATATAACAGCTAATAACAAGGATTTTAAGCAGTGAATACAAGAAATAAATATAATGATAATGTAAACAAAGAAAGCTTGTTTATGTTACCTCTGCACTAGATCACACTTATTTCCAGATGTTTTAACTCCTCTGCAAAGTAGCCATCTTCTTAATTGTACAACAGAATGATTTTCAACCTCTGGATAAATTAATTTTGCACCAGGAACATCATCTTCTGTTAATTTGATTGCCTGAAACTTACTAGTACTCGCCATTGTTATGATCGTACAAGATAATGTTTGTCCGCATCATACGGGCATCTGAGATAAGGGCATAACCCAAAGCCTCTGCATCTCATTAGTGACGCAGGCGATAAGGGATTCTGAACCTATGCTATTGAGAAAATTATACGTGTCGTTAAAGAATATCGACATGTTAACGTAAATATGCTTATACTTAAAGTTTAAGTACATTTTTGGTATTTTCAATATGTCATAAATAATTCTTTAAACCTAATGTAAAACATTTTTGAAAAAAACGTTTAGGCACCCTATTAATTTAATTTATTCATTTCTCATTTTTATTTATTTAACCCTTATGTAGATTTTTTCAAAACTGTGGAATATAACTTAGTTTTTTTCTCTATGATCGACTACTACTGTAGTACAATTACATCGGGATCGAAGTCGGGCTCGAAAAGCAATTAATTTAAAAACAACACACCGCGCCGAAATTCAATTTTTTGGAGAGTTCCACGCAGCCATGTTGAACTTGATCATGATGTTGTACGGGGCGAAAGAGAGTGACACGAAAAGGAGAAGCATGATTAACTTTGGATGTAATTTCTGTTTTCACAGAAGATGAAGACATTTACGACCCTGTTTAGCGGTAGGAACAATGTACATTGTACAAAATTTTATCATGTGTCCTTGAATGAATAATTGCCTCTGCTACTGATAATGTTACTGTTCCTTAGTCTGGGCACTACACATAAAATGCCTGGCAGTAAAAGCGTTTGGGCAAGCGCTATT